CTGATGCTGGTCCTTCTGCCTTCCTCTTTCACTTTAAAAGATCTCTGTAACTACACAGGACTGACCTGGATAATCTAGGATAATCTCCCCAATGCAAAGTTGGTAAACTAGCCATCACACTTTCACTGGCAGCCTGTAATATATCCTCAAGTTTAGGACATTAATACCTGGACATCTTGGTGGACCATTACTGTGCCTTCTAGTCTACTGTCTTGAGAGTGGCCAACATGCAGCTCTGTAACATGCATCCCGTGGGCCATCTAGGCAGCACTTGGGAATGAAGTGCTACACAAGTGAAGGTCAGTGTAACGGGCAGGCATCTCGCACACAGGAGTGAGGAGGAAGGAGGAACTTACACAACACATGGCCTCCCAGGTGTCTCAGAGCCCCTCCTATTCACCTGTTGGATGTACCCACTGTACCTCCAGACACAGATCCCCTTGACAGCCCTCTTGCTAATCTGAAGCAAGTAGGGCGAGAGTCACTCCAGGCTGACCTTGCGGGATGGCATTGAACTTCTCGCCTTTTCACCACTTTGCACTTCTATTCCAATAACAGGGCTCCTGTACCTCTAGCCCCTTCTCCTGACATCCTGGTCCTTAATTTTATGTAGACTTCTTATCAGGAAAACTACTTTCTGTTGCCTCTACTTGCTAGTCCAGAGTCCTACGCCATACTTGCTGGCTGCATTGCTCTCCTCCTGTGAGGTTTCCTTGCTGCCAGTGCCTTCTGCCTTCTTGTTGCTGTAGCTCTGCCCATTCACAGGCTCCCAGCCACTCTTCCCCATGCCCACAGGTATGGTACCCCCTCCTGGGCACTCCCGTGGCAGGCTCTATCTCTGCTCACAGGACTCACCCTGGAAAGGTCTATTTCCTGAGAAATGTCCCTTTGTTTACCAGCCAAGTTAGCAGGCGGGCACCCACAGTAACGGAAAACCAGAGGCTCTAACAAGGGACAGTCAGGCCACTCCCTCACACCAATGATCTGAAAGCCAGTGCGAGACACTGCAGAGCACTGAAAGGGGATGACAGACAAGAAAACCAAGTGGAGAGCAGAAGGGAGCTGCCAAAGAGTATACAGCAGGGAGGGCAGAGCCGGGCTGACGGCCTCTCTCCTGGCTCCCACAGCGGCCACGCTGCGTCAGGGAGTTCAGTTTGCAGGGGGCAGCTGGCTGAGAATCTCAGCATTGGAGGGACTACGGCTGCCATCTAGGCTAAGCACTGACTGATGCAGGGACCCCAGCTGGAAGAGCCCAGCTGAGCCTGAGCCACCATTCTGTCCCTGTGAACAGCTCCCACAGACGTCCTGCTAGAAGCTCCTCCTCTGAAGGTCCACAAAGCCCTCAGCTTAAGCTCGTGTCTCCCGGAAACTTACCTACTCTCTGGTTATAATGGTTGCATCCAAGCGTAATATACGTGTACATGCACATGCGCATACACGCGCGCACACACGCGCGCGCACACACACACACACACTCACACATGCACGGCCTATCTTTTTCCTATGACTACTTTCCAAAGGTTTGCCCTCAAGTGATCTATTTTCTGTGCTGAACAACCCAGCTGCCTTTAGTTCCAATGAGACAATTTTCCTGTGTTCCATCGCTACAATTCGGGTCTTAGGTGACATCTAAAAGTCCACGTGCTACTGGCTGGGTCACCAGCCTGTGATGGTACTGAGAAGTGGTGTAGCCTTTGAGAAGCAAGGCCTAGTTGGAGGTTTTCAGGGTCCTCATCTTCACTGAGGATGCGCCCTCGAGGAGCAAAGTGGGACTTCAGCTCTTTCTCTACTTTCTCTCTTTAATGTCCTGACCATAAGAGCAGCAGTTTCACTGCAGCATGCACACCCTGCCCTTTTACAGGAGGAATAAACTGATGCACAAACTCAGTCATGGACTGGAAGCTGCAAAGCTGTGAGGCAAACTAAAACTTTTTCTAGAAGTTGATTATGGCAGGTACCGGTTATAGTGAAATAAATCCGACCAACACATCCTGTTCTGGGCTTTGTCCTCTGAGTCGCCTCTAGGTCCTCCTCACAGTGCGGCTTCTCTGGTTTCTGCTCCCAGAAGTGACTATACCTTCAACCTTATCCCCCAATAGAGCAGGATCCCCACCTTGAGGTCTGCCAGCCCTGTGAGCATACGCTGAGTTGAAGGATCCAGAGAAACATGAACCAGGACAGATCTTTTGAACCATGCTGACCAGAACGAACCGGAACTGGCTTGTGTTCCAGTGGATCTGCCGAGAATTTCCAAAGTTCTAATCAACACACACCTAGGGAACTAGAACAAGAGCCGGGGCTTTAGAATACTCGGCTGGTACAGCATCAAAGTGCAGCCGGATGCTGGGAAAGGTCATGGCTCAGAGGCCCCACTCACTCGCCTCACGAGGCAGAGAAGCTCGGAGCTCCTGTCATTCCCACACAGAAATCACTAAAAGAGCCTGCTGCTCACGGAGGCCAGACGAGGCAGCATTCGCGTTGGAGTAGAGCCGCTGAGCAGTATCCCTGACCCAGGAGCTGCTTCTCTCCGGCATCGCTATTCAGTTCTGTGGGTTTTCTATATATTCCTTTTCTTCCTTTTATTTTTATATAGATGCACTTGGCAGCTGACCTGATCGATTAGGCCAAGCACTTCCTGCGTGTGCCAGTGCAGCCTCAGCCTGGAAGGGGAAAGGCCTGCAGGAGCTGCTGCTGGACCTGCTGCAGACAGCAAGGAAACAGTGGTGAGCCCATGGCTTGGGTATTCTTTTCTAGTCCCTCTTGGTCTTTGCTCTATTCTTACAATAGGCAAACTGAGGCTAGCCCTCAACCTGTTCCCTAAGTCTAGGAAGCAGCTTCCTATTTCTCTTCCTTAGTTTCCAACGCAGTACCCTTCTCTTAAATGATGGTGTCTTGCTATACCTGGAACAGCCTTCCCTTTCTCCAAATCCCAGGAATGCCTCCAAAGCTCCGCCCCACTGGCCAGACTTTCCTGCTTGATCATCTGTGTGTTCTCTGTACCCACACACTCCGCTGCTGGGTTTTCTGTCTTCTCATCACCTTTCAAACATTGATTCCTCCCGGTGCCTCTCTCTCTGTTCACCCTCATACAAAGTGACTCCTGATGACCCCAGCCAGTGCACCGCTTGCTGTGCTCTCTGCCAGCCTCTGCATGGACCCCAATCCAAGCTTGGGGACCATCTGAGCTTCCCAAACTCCAGTTCTGTCTGGAGTGACTGCTTTCCAAACCCTGCTCTGCTCAAAGCCACTTCAGAGGGAAATGGATTAAGAACAGCTGGGGGAGGGAAATGGGAACTGGGTCAGAAAGGGGTGTTCCGGCACAACTAGAGCATGATTTCCCCAACTAGAGCTCTTGGTGCAGCTTGCTCCCCGACCCCATTCCCTTGTCTAACCAGCATCCCAGTGTCTGCACCAGTAGGGACTGGCCAAGGCTAAGCCATAGAGTAAAGGTTGCTTTAAAAGGGTTTTTGCTTTTTCCTTGGAATATACTGATAACAACTTATAAATTACCCATGAGCTTTATGTACCAACTCTGAGGATATCTGAATTCAGGAAAACAATCCGGTGTTTGGCTATCTGAGGATACATTTAAATTCCCAAAGAACTGTCCTGGTCAGGTGGTGATGCGTTTTACAGAAATGATACCTCTCCTGTTGGGGAATCAATGTAATAAACAAAGACAGAGCCTCTCCTCTTTCATTACTACCTCCAGAATTAAACTTACTAGCAGTGCTCTGCTTAGCAAGAGAGAACAAAAGGGTTGGTTATTCACTCATGGAATACAGGTAAAAATTTTCCAGTGACCATTTCTTTGAGGTGTCTATTTTAAGGATTTGATGAAGAGTAAGTTACAAGGTAAATCTCCACCCTTCCAGAGAGCAAGAATCAGGAGTTTCAGCCCAGCAGCTACTTGTCAAATGCCAAGCCACAGTGGTGTGCTCTCAAACAAGCTGAGCTTGTCCTCAGAATTCACGTTTCACAGCCCCACTCTCTGCCCAAATGCCGCCACCACCTTGACAAAAACAATGTTCTTTAGTTAGGTGAAGTAGAAAAATACAGTGAAAAGGTTCCTTGATATTCTAGGTAAACAAAGACACTTTCTGAAGAAAAACACTGGTGAAGATGAAAGCCAGGCATTGCCTTAGACACTCTCCAATTTCCAAAATACCACTTAAAAATAATTACACCCACGATTTATGCATGATTCATTAGATAGCAAGAGAAAATGCACTGCCAAATTTTAATTGCATTCAAAGAGTAGACACCATGAAAAATACCCCCAACCTCTTTGGACTAGAACCCCTCTAAGTAACATCTTCTCCACAACGTAAATCTTGTCTGAAAGTCTATCCTTATTAATTTATAGAAATATTGTACTTCAATGATTGGATATCCCTCGGAAGAAACTTTTTAGTTTAAGCAAATAGAAGATCAAGTAACCTGGTACCCGTTTTTACTTGTGAAAAAGAATGTGCTTGAATCACAAGATTCCCTACAAAGATGACAGAAATGCCATAAAAATCGTGTGTTGTCTGTGAACCAAAGTGGTTTTCCTCTCTGCACCCTTCCTCTCAAAGTAGGAACAAGATGATATCTTCATTACACAGTTCTGGTAGAGAATCTACCAGTTATGCACTGAACACCATCCCTTATCCATGCTGATTACAGCCCGAATCGGGGGGGACATAATAGATACACGATCTTTCCTAACTTAGAAGAGATGTGATAGACAGCATCGTGCAGAATGTAAACAGCTCTTCAGTACGTGAGAGCCGCTGCACCGCTAATCTGAAGAACTGGGTACAAGGAGCACCGAAATGGTACTCGAAGGTCTGCGGCAGCAAGGTGTGCTGGTACCGCGTCCATCCTCTGGATTTGGAATGACACCTGCCATGTACACCCTGCTGCTGGCGGCTGTCCTTCAAGAAGGAGAGTGGGCTGTGTGACAGGCACAGTGTTTGGTGTTCAGTGTCTCCCCGGGATTGCTGTCACACACATACCTGTGGTCTTTAACGGCGTTTTCTCTCCTAGCAACAGTTTTAACCTTTTGGCGTGGATTTTGCCTTGATAATGCGAGTCAGCCACCACTGCTGAGGTGAAAGACATGTTACAGAGTGTGCAGCACTTGTTCTTATCCACCATGTCAGCATCACTTCCCTGTTGCAGGAGAGAGAGAGGAAACAGTGTCAGAGAGACGTCCCACTCCCCACTTCCTCTTCCGGTTCCATTGTTCTGTAAGGGACTTTTACCACACGCTGGCTTGTGGAACGGTCTCACCATTGTTCTGCAATCTCTTCTTCACAATAATCATCACCAAAACTTATTTAGGGCCTGATTTCCACATACTTTGTGTGTGTGTGTGGTTGTGTGGCTACTAACATCAGATAGTAGGATTACGAGAAAAGTATGCAGTTACCCAAAGAAAAATAGAGCCCACAATTAGGTGAGAGCACATTGTGTCTGGCACTGTGAGGAAAAGCAGCCTGTAATTGTACCCATTATACTCATTAAAGTAAGTAAAATATCACCGTTCATATGGACTGAATTATTTAGCAGAAATTACCATTTGGCATTCAGCTTTGCCTTTACCCAATTTTAGCCTCACCAGGATACATGGCTGTGATGTTCTAAATTTTTTCTTTAGATTTATTTAAAGATGTGAACATTTTTCATAATTAGCTCTAGTATATATTATAAAGCAATGATGACCATGCTGGCTGAGTTTTCTAGAGAGTGTGTGTAATTTTTCCTTTTCTTCAGGAGAGGTGATTCTTTCAATGTGGCACACAACGCTAATAAGATCCAGTTTGGTTTTTATTCTTTTGTAAGACTTAATGAAAATAAATCGTGATTCAGAAAAAAAAAATAAATCTTTTGTCAGACTATGTGGCCTGGCTATTGTGACATACAGGTCATCAATTACCTATACTTATGCAAGAGAAGATTAATCCATTGCCTCCTCTCCTGCCTAGCTGAAAATTGAGGGTGAAGCCAACTCTCAGATAAGGAGTTAATCTATTCCTTAATGGAACTGCAACAGCAAAGCATGTCGTTGTTAAAGAGCAGGCCTGGAGGAGTAAAGGCCCCACAATAGCCCCTTCGCTGACTCCCAGAAGGCCTAGAGAATGCAATTTAAAATTGGATGGGGAGGAGAAGGAGAGTGGAGACAGGATGGAGAAGGAGAATCGTACACACTTTCTGCATAATAATAAGATGATCAGACTGCTGGAGAAAGTATAGGCTTGCAACTCTGTGGTAGCTAGAAAGGGAACTGCTTCTTCCTTAGGGCATCTCTCGGTAATATCCTTGAGAATCAGCTTCTGGGGTGTGTTTCCCAGGAGGCAGGCCCATAGCGGGGTGGTGGGGGCAGATACCGACTGGAAATGTTGAGGGTGAGGTGGGGCAACAGGTCAGTGAGAGTCAGTGGATCTTTGGAGAGTGAGGGGCTTAGGGAATGTGGCAGGCACAGAGCCTGTATCTATTCTGGATACCCTTGCTGAGGATATAAAGCCAACATGCTTGCAGTTTTGCCCTCTGTTAAAAATAGAAGTTATAGGGCCAGGGATTTAGCTGAGTGGTTCCGCTGCCTGCCTAGCAAGCAGAAGGACTGGAGTTCGATCCCCGGTAACAGTTACACCTTTGTGTGGTACACTGTGGAGACATCCAAGGGGTGAAGGAGAGGGTTGGCTCCTGGTCTCTCCTAGGGAACGGTGCAGGAACCCTTGGAGGGCATCAGCCTGGGAAGATCACAAAAAGGCAAACGACAGAGTTGCTGAAAGGTTCCAGTCCCTTAAATGAGGAGTAACCCAGAAAGAATGAAATACCAAATGTGGTACTTTCCCACTATCTGTTAGGGGTGATTATTAACCCTACATCTTTAAATAAAACAAGGAAGAGTGTCAAGGCCACAGTGGTGGCTTGAACTATCCTATTTTTCACCTACATATGCATAACATAGTATAAAGTATGTACTTTTAAAAATTAAACACAATAAGATCTTAAACCAGACTTTAACTCACAATTCACCTCTTTAAAACCCGGGTGTCTCCTTTGCCCCTTCCAGTGAAAGTCCCAGACATGCTCAGTCTTTCTCCCGTCTAACGAAAGGCAGCAAACCAATGCAGTGGCTGGTATCACTATGCGAAGAACACTGACAACTGGTTTCCAAGGCAAACAACTGCTCTCGGATTGCGTAATGAACAAAGGGTTGATGTCTTTCGTTCTTCCGCATACTTTAACACTTTGAGGTCCTCTATGTATGTCAGACGCTGTGTCATAAAATACTACTCATCTTTCTACTCCTCATCACGAAGGCTGGCACCAGGAGGAAAGGGCGGATAGGATGTAAAGTAAGGACTTAAGATAATCAGTGAAATGCCCTCTTATTGGACTCCTCCAACTACAATATAAAGAGACGAATAGTGCAAGTGGAGCCTGTGTACATGGATTTTCCTCAGGCCCAGCATGTATGCCTCTCACTTCTTACCTAACCCAGTCCAGTCTCATTATGTAGTTATGGCTCAGTGAGTTACCACTTCTTGGAGATGAACCTCCTTTTGACTTCTATTGTCTTACAGAAGTAAGATTCAGCCTGTGAGTCAGTCCTCTGGTGTCCTGCACATCTCTCTTTTATAGAACATTATTATTATTACATTTGCTTGTTTGCATATTTTCCCCTCATGAGACTGTTAACCTTCTCTAAGGTCAAGAAAAATCATCTCATGGATAGCAAGAACCCAGCAACCAGCACAATGCTTTCTACACAGGGTCCTTCCAGTGCTTACTAAATGACTGGAGTAGGGGGTTGGATTGTGAGGTTAATAATTTATGTGACAGAAAAATCAAGAGAAAACAGGGATATTAAGGAGCACTTTTTTACACTGACAAGAAGATATTCAGGAAAAAAGGCAGAGAAGTCAACAAATTCTAACTTGAAGGTTGGTGTTAGAGAATGCGGGTCCAATATTTGTGTCAGTTTTGTGATGGTGATTTTAATATATATTTCTGGATGTCTGCTCTCCTGGGCAACCTCATTCACTTCTCAGAAGAATCAAAGACTAACAGAACTGACTATTGAGCAATAAAACAATGAGAAACAGTTACGCCATCATTGTAGAAGGACCAAGAAAAACAGAATCCTGACAGTAGATGTAAACTTGACGTCCAGAGAAGTGAGGCAGCCCTTAAGCTGGATAATGTACTCTTTGTGAAAGATTTTATGAAGGAGCCGAAGAAATCACATGATGGAACGGGAAAGCCTACTGATTCTGATTATTCTAACAACTCTCCTGGAGATATGACTGCCGAGAGAATCTCAGTACTAACCACATACTAACCTGTAAAGTAGGAGAATTTAATTATGTGTTCTCAGCTATCTGAATCCCAAATTAATGAATCCTCAAGACTCCAAATCACACGATCTTCCTTAGGAGTCTGTCACAGCACCAAGAGCGAGGTTGCTCTCTGGCTCAGGGTGGAGCTCCATACATTCTGATGAACTGACCTCAAATAATACATTTACATTTCTGGCTTAAAGAATAATCAACAGCCTCAAGGTATCATGGAAATGAAGAGGGGAACTCTAGGATAATCTTAAAGTAAGGATTTCAAACTACAGGCAGGATTTTTAAATGTAAACTCCCCACTACTAAAAGCAAGAATAAACACATGTATAGTAAGTATCCTGAGGCTGCTGAGTCAAAGGTATCTTGCAAAGTCCATACATTTTTCCACCAACTTCAGTTGGAGCAGAAAGCCCTGGGTGAGTGTGGCTGGTTAGAAATCCAGACCTGAAGAGTCCTTCTTTTTTTTATATAAGGTTATTTTCATAATGTATATGATTGTCATGATTATCTTTAACTTTAGGTGAATGTAGAGCCTGACTCAGATTGCCACTTCCAGGACAGCAGTGAAGAGTTCTGCGAAGCTCCTCCTCCGTGAAGCAAACGTAAACGCTAAAAAATATTTTTAATACCATCGACAATTCTTTAAAGCTTCCAGAAATTATCTTAAGAACAAGCAAAACATTAAGAAATATTTATACCTGAATGTTTATTACATTTCAAGGAGAAAGTATGAAGCCCTTTGGCCACAATCCTACTTACCAACCTCCAATAAAGGAGGCTCTGTTCTGATCGGGGGTGGTCAGAAAAGTAGGGCTCCCTCTCTGTTATGGTTTGGGTCCAGATGTCCCCCTAAAGCCGCATGTGGTGGTCACAGGCTTGACTAGAGTCTATGAAGCTGGATTAATTCATGATGCAGTGCTAGGCTCAAGGGCACTAGGACTAAGGGTGTGAGTGCTGCCTGCCCTAAGTAGCCTGGATAGGATAAAAGGGGCAGGGAGACGCTGTTAGCTCTCTTGTTACCTTTGCTTCCTTATGTACACCATGTTGTTTCTCCTCTGCAATGCCTGTTTGCCAGACCTGCCTCGGAGCTGCTAATTATGGACTGAAACCTGTATAAACTTTAAGCCAAAATAAACCCCTTCCCCTCTAACTTTGAGTGCTGGGTATTTTGTCTCAGCAATGGGAGAAAAGTAACTAACACACCCTTCTATCAACACTCAGAGGATACAAGGAAGGGCAACCCACAACCACCTGCTCCTCTGAACTCCAAGTTGAAGAAGCTAAATTTTTAGCAAGGTGGTTCGGAAATGTAGCCCTCATCGTAACCCACTCATCCATCGGACAGAAGCACTATACCAGGCACAGCAGGCCATGAGTAAGGGCGCTGAATGCCCGGCCCCCAGCTCATCTGTAAAGTAGGAGAGTTGAGCAGACCAGAGGCCACTGTCCCTGTCCACCTAGTAAGCAAGGGTGTCACGGAGAACGAAGCTGAGCACTATGCGAGACCTGAGCTCTGCTGCAGTGGTTCCAAGTCTTTCCACAACAAGAGAATGGGTTGTTCGTCAGCTAAGGACCTGGCTTTATCTGGAGCAGAGCATGGGCAACTTTAGGTCTAAAGGTACTGTCAAAATCAGTGGGGATTTGGGTCAAGCAAGTAAGAAAAAAACTGATAACCCAGCAGAGCAACAAGGTGAACAGTGAAACTGCTGGTTTACCAGAGATAACTGGGGGAGAAAACTAAGAACTTCCCTAAAGCCAGAACACAACATAAACACTTGCCTACGAAAAGGCCTGGATTTCATCCAGATCAGT